ATTCGAGGCGTTTTTGTTCATCTCGAACAGGCTACATTGTTTTCTTTGTCAGTTGTACGGGTGCGACCAGACATGTGCGTGGCAATGGTTGCCCGGGCGTGTACATATGGGTCCTGGGTACATTTTCTGCACATCCTACTGGAGTAGAGCGTGGTGTCAGGAAAATGAAGTGCTTTGATCTGAACGGATCTTGATCGCCGGCTCTCGGATCTCTAGTCTAGTCTCTGCTTGTGTCAAGAAATGGACTGGAGCGTTTGACTGGCGAAGCTGTCGCGTGAACTTGCCCCGCCAGAGGTGACCCTTACGGCCGATGTTGAAATCCGGGACCGTGAGTTTGGACGTGACCCTGGATCAAGAACCGCGGACGTGGACTCATGTCCTAAACGGGTCGGCGAAACGTGCCCTATCCACAATATCTACCGGCAGATGCCCACATCGCCGCATCGAGCTTCGTTATGGAGGAGCCTACTATCCGCATTTTGAAGCCACGTTTAGCGGGCATTGGTGCCATATCGGTACGTCGTTACATAGCAGTGTTCGCTTCGGCGATCCACCAACGTCATCGTTGTTGGAGATGGGATTATGCTTGCGTATGGGTGTTTCGCCAAGGGACGGCTACTTACCGTAGTAGTGAATGAGGGGATTTCTCAAACTGTAGCTGCTTGGCAGGGCTATGATGGGATTGTGAGTTTCGGCATCTCGGTCAGTCTTTAGCTCGGTCTTGGTGTTGGCGAGTTGGCGTGCGATTGATGGGCGGACGGTGTGACATGATCAGCCGTGGGAAAAAGCCGTGTACTTCACATACGATATTTGGTGATGGACATAAGTCAAGGATGATAGGCAGGGGCAAGGTGAGGCGGTCGCACGAGGAAGGGATCGTCAGGTACGCACATGTCCCGCTGGCTAGGGAAGGAGCCGCGGTTACCAACGCGGCTGCGGGTTGGCTATGGGATGTGGTTGGGGTTCGACACAGGGCAGAGGTTGCGATTGAGATGTCTGGATCACTGATCTGATGCTGAGGTGGGGTTTGAGAGCATATTGCCGCATCTTCTGCCGTGACTGTTTCACGCAGCTGCCCCGGGCCGCGAATCGCAGGACAGCGAGGATCGTGATGCGCCGTCCTGGGACGCCGCAGTTCGGGAACAGCGGGTCTCTTCTCGGCACACCGATATCTGCAGCCGTGGAAGGTGATCGCGGCTCTCTCCTTTCATTTGGATCGAGACCGCATGTCCTACCATCCGTGCCGAGTGCGGGGATTGCACCCCGTCACAGACAGTGTGTGTCGCAGAGTGTGTAGCTCGCAGAGTATGTATCATCCCGTTCCCCTGCCTGCGACTCGCCACAGCTTCTGTCTCTTTTTGCGAAGAAGGGAAGCGAGACTGTACATCGGATTAGAGTTCGATCGGCATACCCCGGTCCCTGATGGTCTGGCTGGGGATCGTGGATCGTCGGTCTTGGCATGAGGCGGCGCGGGACGGCGGCGGGTGTGGCGTGGATGGGAAACGGGTTGGATCATGGATTTGCGGAAGTGCGTCCGGTGCTTGACGGCCAGGGGCTATGACTCTGACACGATGAAGAAAAGGGACGGAGCAGGATGCATGGGACACAAAACTGGAATCATCGCGTAAACCGACAGATATCCTTCCACCCATCAACCTTCCAGGCTCCATCACCAGTTCTCCCACACCGCATCCGGCAACACCGTCCTCATAATCCGCCAATGCCGTCCCGCAGCCTCGCGATGCCACTTCTCGATAACCTGCTCGCCCCCGCGATGAAGAATAAGCTCCTCCGGCTTACCATACTTGGCCTCTCCGCCCTTAAGCTCCGGTAGCACGATTTCCAGTGACGCCGGGGGCGGCACGAATTGCGCGCGGCTCAGGCTGCCGAGGTGATCGCGTGGAACGGCGCGCCGGAAGGTGAGTGGCCGGTCGAGGTGCGGCGTGCAGAAGACTACCATATTGATGAAGGTGGTGTCTGATTCGGACTCGGACGTGTCGCGGTAGTGCCGGCAGGTGGGGAAGACTGCGTTTATGGTGCGCAAGACGATATGTGGTGGGGGAAGGGCCATGTCTCCGGCGTAGTTCTGGCTCTGTTAGCATGAATGGGGTACCGGGAATGCGGGGCGCATACGATCGCAATTACGCCATCGTCTTTTAGCAGCGCGGCCAGACTGGTGAGGAATTCGAACGTAAAGAGCGCAGTGGGCTCGGCGCCGCCGGTGAATACGTCGTGGATGATGAAGTCATATGACTTGGGATGCTCAGCTGCGGCGGAGGTCACGAAGGGTACGGCGTCCTCGATCACAGCAGTATGGTTCGCCAGCAGGTCGAAATACTGTGTCGCGTAGTAGTGCACCATGGGATCGAGCTCGACGATTGTCGTGTTGATACCGTGGGCAATGAAGGCGCTAGGGGAGGTACCAACTCCAAGGCCACTGGAGGAATGAGTACGAGCAGAGTGAAAGTGATGGGCTTACATGAATAGCGCACTATTCTCCGCGTCAGCCTTGGGGGTCTCACGCTCAACAAGTCGTACGGATTCCAGCATCGTAAAAACCGAGTAGATGGTTTCCTTGCGCGTCTGTCCAATCTCCGCTCGCTCGGGTGTCACATCCCACTCCCCACCTAGCAGGCTGTGGTCGCAGCGCATCACGCGGAACTTGTCGTTGTTGCCCTCCAGTACGGAGATGTACCCTGTCACCGAGTCCTGGCGCGCGAGTAGCGTGAAGTTTTGCTCCGCCAGTGTGCGGTTGAGGGCCTTGATCGCATAATGTGAGTTGTAATGCGGGTTAGCGAACATGGTGTGCAGCATTGAGGGCAGAGGTATTAGCAGGAACGGCGAGCGGCAGAGGCCGGCGTAGAGCGAGGCTATCAAGAGTTGCAGGCCGGAGCGAGTGAAGAAGTCGGTTGTGCCCATGACGTGCGGCAGGGAGAGCCGGACCAACTTCTCGGAAAAGGAAAAGGGGACGTAGCAGAAGATACCAGGGGCAGCTTCTGCAAACGTTGGGCCGAGCCGGCTAAAGTCGAGGTCGTCCACGAGAATCGCCGTTGCCGAGAAGACCATAAAGAGCAACGGGTAAAATGTCAGAAGCTCGGTCACCAGCGGTCCATACGTAGGTCCAAGGTACGAACTGCCTTTGAAGAGACCCCATTGAAAGGTGATCATCCAGAAAGCCTGGATGGGAATGTACTGGTGGATGTTGGTAGGGACATATCGCTTTAGGGACGTGCGGGATATCATGAGCGCTGCAAGAGCGGTTATGGTGACACCTTGCTGATGAAAGGTAGCAGCCGGAATCGAGCCGTACACGGGCGAGAGGTTGTACTGCGATGCCGTCGATGCCACAGCGGCAAGCAGAAGGTAGGCGACTGTTTTGCTCAGCGTGTGCCATTTTGGCGGCGGTGGAGATGGAGATGGAGGTTCTTGAGTTGGCTTCGGAGCTGTCGTCCTTTTCGATGGGCCAGCCATCTTTTTTTTGACGATGTGGTTTCTAGTATGGAAAACAGAAAACGGTACGGAGCAATTCCCAGCTCGTCAAAGCATCAATGAAGTCGTGTGGTCGATAAAAAGTGGGACCTATCGTAGGTTAGCCTTGAGCGGTTCAGCTGCGATGACGTCGCGCCTACGGCCTGTATGAAGAACAGCTCTACGAAACCAAGACCAGCCCAGAATTGAAGATAAAGATGCTATCAAAATTATCTGATTGCTGTTGATGGAGGCCAGGTCACGACGGGATGAAACCCGATGGCGCGGCTGCAGGTTCAGACGCAAGGCGTGTCATTGGCGAACAGCCGCCCGAGGCCATCAACCTCCCTGGGCGTCTCTGTCATCCGCCTCCGCCTTCGCCTTTGTCGCCGCATTCCGCCTTCGAGCGTCAGCTTCAATCTACAACCACCATCATCGCCATGCCGTACTTCCATACCCGCACCGTACCCATCATGGAATCCAACACAGAAGGCCAATCCAGAGAATCCTACACCCCCCCCCAAGCCGAACGGGATTCCTTAGGAGCCACCACGCCTACCCGTATCCGCGTCAAGAACCGACGTAAGCGCTACCTCGACGTCCATCCGGACTACTTCAGCGCCTCGCTTGAGCTCGCGGACCCGCTCCTCTACGACCGTCTCGTGCGCCGCTTTCAAACACCGGCGGAGCGTGAGGCCGAGGGTCGCGAAAAGGGATACTCAGGTGTGCTCGAGGCCGACCTGCTCCGCTCAGAGGCGAAACTCGATGCGCTCGCGAATCCAGATCCGCACGCCTTGTTTACGTACCGGCGCGGTGAGGACGGTGAGATAATAGCTGAAGACACTGAGGATGTGCCACAGAACAAGGAGGAAGGGTGGCGGCGATGGCGCGACGAAATGGAGATGCGGTTCCTGCGGGGCGAAGATGAGGATTTTGATTATAAAAGTGTGGATGAGAACGAGGAGTATGATGACCGAGCTGAGGAGGAGCGCGAGGCGCACGAGAAGTACTTTGGCGAGGAGGAGCCCAGCTGGATCCTCGAGGAGGGTGGGACTCCCGAGGGCGAAACTGGAGTTCAAGACTTTTGACCGGCCTAATGTTCGTCGCCATGGCAAGAGCCTATAACCGCCTTTTCAGGCGACTTACCACATAGCAGGGTCCCACTGAGCTGCTCGCTCCCCAGACGCCAGTCTGCAACTCTGAAGTTACTCCACAAGCAGCTCCAGAGATTCCTTCAGAGATCTTATATTGGGTACAGACTAGTGCCGCCTCCGCGTCCCCTCGTGGCTCATGGAAGGGTGCCGAACAAGGACTCAAATGATGTACGGTACAGCTGTCTTCACCAGCTTTAATAGCTCCGAATCAATCACTAGCGAATGACTAACGCCAGCATGCTCCTCGCGAATTTGTCCTCAGAAATTCTGGCATCATTTATTGGCGGACCCCGTAAGGACAGCAGCGCTCGCAGTCGAGGTGACGTTTTCAACTCGACCCCTTCATCACCAGAAACAGCCGAAAGTTTTTCATCAAACGGCCGTGTGGCGTAATGGCAACGCGTCTGACTACGATTATTCATCCCATCTAGCTTGGGTTGAGTACATGTGATCAGGAGATTGCAGGTTCGACCCCTGCCTCGGTCATTATCTTTTTGCGCTTTTCATGTTCCGGAAACGCAGCTGTGGACCATAAGTCAATTACAGTTTGCTTGGTTTCTCATGTTTGTCGGGGGATATCAACAAGGGACCACAACCAAGGCCTTTAGAGACTCAAGCTGATATCTGATTTAAGTAGGCTACAAGACCCCTGCACCTTACGCCGTGCGAGGTACTCCGATGAAAATGCAAGATGCTTTACTTTCCGTGAACGAAGACACGGCTCTCAACCGGGGTCTTCTGCTCTTTCGGAGCCGGAGCTTCGTTACTAGCACGCCCACCGAACACCAGCTGCGCTCTCAGAGCCCACTCCTGTGGAATGTTCCAGTAATTCTGAGCCTTCTGGTCGATAACCGGGTTATACTAGTGCGGTTAGATATGCCGACACCACGAGAATGGCAACTTACGTGCTGTAGATTGGCGCCAAAGCCCTCAGCCTCCAGAGCAGTCCAAAGATGGATCTGGTGCATCGCCGAGGTGTGCTCGCTCCAGACAGGGAAGTGCTCAGCGTAGAGCGGGAAGGCCTGCTTGAGCGCGTCGACTGGCGCGGGGTCTTCGAAGAAGAGGATCTAATGGGTGTTAGTGCTCGTTCCACAAGTTTGCCCAATCAGGTGTCCCTACCGTGCCGTAACCCGCACGGAACGTATTGAGACGCTGCTCAGTCTTCGGGAACTGATCCTCGGGAACTTGGGGTCTCAGAACCTCCTTGACGAAGTCCCAGAACCGCTCGTGCTCTTCCTTGAGGAGAACCACGAGGCGTGCCGACTGGCTGTTGAATGAAGAAGGAGTATTGAGGACGACATCCTTGACGATTTCTTCGATGCGCTCATCGGAGATAGGTGCCTTGTTGTTCAGGGCATAGATAGTGCGACGAGCCTTGACAGCGTCCAGGTAAGCGGAGGAAGATGCCATAGTGCTAGTGGAGGAGAAGGTACGTAATGAAGAGTTGAGGTGGAAGTGGTTACCGGGGAAGGTATGGTTTCTGGATTTCGGAATGGCAAACAGGCGGCGGGACGCGACTAAAGTACTCGAAACGGGTTGACGGATCGGGAGGTTGCGACCGATCGCAGTTTTTAGCTGTAGGCGCGAGGCCATTGCGTTTATTGCTGGGGTGTATTCCTTCACTGCAAAGGTTCGCCAGCGGATTTTGATATTTGAAATCGGCTGTACCCAAAGCGTATGATAAAGGAAGATATGGATCTTTGGTGTTGCTTAACAATACAGCTGCGGATGCGGAAGTATGAGCACCCGAGACAAAAATCCGAATTTCCAATGCTCCTCATTCACGCCAGCTTCCACCGCCATAGTCTTGCGCCCGCCATTCGCGGGTGTCCTAGTGCGTAACTCCGTAGCTTACTACGTAGCTATGATGTAAGCCCATTGAGGTCAGAGATAACTGCAAGGGGAAACAAAGCCCTGCAGCTCGGAGTGGCACCAGCCGCATCCGAGGGTCAAATTATTAAGCATCGGGACGTAGCACTGGGAGTAAGTCTCCATCTCGGCTTATAAAGGTAACAATGCGGCGTCCTTACTTGTCTCTGGCATTCTAGTCGGCATATGCAGCAAAATGTACGAAAATCCTGTTCCAAGTGCAAAAGCGTCGTTGTCGTCGTCGTCGCGTGCTTTATGGATGCTTGAGTCGCCATGATTGGTCAGTCATATCGCAAGGTGTGTGCACGCAGCCGGAATGGAAAAACTCTCTCCGAGAGCTGCGCATCCCATGACGCAGGCGTCTACTTGCCACCTCTTCCCCTCATCGGGTCGTCCTCTACGGCGCATCTCTACCACCTCCATCGACACCAAAGCGGATAACATGGCGGCAAGCACCAAGTATCAGCCCGCGCCCCAGCGCGACTCATTCGACGAGCCCGGCTATTCCCAAGCGCCACCTTCCTACCAGGCGGAGAGCGCTCACGCGGCCTTGCTTGGAGCTCCGCGCACCGAGAATGACAACCTTCCGGACGACTTCAAGGTAGGGACCTCGGGGAAGATGTGCTCGATCTAGCCACTAACCCTTCAGTTTGGCGGGGTCGTCGCCGAAGCGACGCTCGACATCCGCATGCAGTTTGTCCGGAAGGTCTATGCCATCCTGTAAGCGCCTCCTTCTAGGTCAAGCTGTCCACGAACTGTGTCTAACATAATATTAGAGCTGTTCAGCTACTTGCAACCTGCGCCCTGAGCGCCGTGTCCTTCTTCAGTGCAGGCTACAAGAGCTGGATCCAGACGAACCCGTGGCTCCTCTGGGTCTCGTTCCTCGGCTCGTTCGGGTTCATGCTCCTCACGTTTTGGAAGCGCAAGTCGTACCCGACCAACCTCTTGTTTCTCGCTGCCTTCACAGCCACAGAAGCTTACACGATCTCCGTCATCACGTCCTTCTACAACGCCTCAATCGTGCTAGAAGCCCTCGTGTTCACACTCGGCATCTTCGTTGCGCTTACGCTCTTCGCCTGCCAGTCCAAGTACGACTTCACTGCATGGCAACCATACCTCATTGGCGCGCTATGGGTTGCAATCCTATTCAGCCTGATGCTCATGTTCTTCCCCTATAACCAGAAGGTTGATCTCGCCTACGGTATCGTCATTGCATTGATCTTCAGTGTGTACATCTTGGTGGACACACAGTTGATAATGAGGCACTCCCACGTTGAGGAGGAGATTGCCGCGGCCATCTCGCTCTACCTGGACATCATCAACCTTTTCCTTGCGATCCTGCGGATCCTCAACAGCCAGAACAACAACTAGAAGGCTTCCTTTTCGGACTGGCTGGGCTGGGTTGGCGGGTGTATTTTATGGCGGCATCAAATTGATTTTAAGCGCTTTGCTTGCTTGCAGCTGTGATGCTCATTGGGTCTTCAATTAACGTCTTTTGTTTCTCCACATATCATAGCGGTTGTTTCCACTTAAACGTATTTGGCTACAGCCCCTTTGTAAGCAGATCTGATGGAATGTAGTCGAACACCTGGCCGAAGCGTGTGCCACTACCGTGCCTCATAATGCGGGGTGACAGCTGTGAATGGCGTCAACCGCCGGAAAGCTAGGGTGAGATGATGCTGGCCAAAGTTTGCAGCTAGCACGGATGAAGCTGGGCGGAAACGTGAAGATCAAACCCTTCCGATTGGTCAATTGGATAGGAGTTTATCCTACAGTGAAGTAGATCAAAAGCCTTCCCCCACAGGTGGGTGGATTGATGGGATGCAATTGGAGGGAGGGGGGCCAACCAGTGAAGGCGCCATCATTGGAGGTCAACACATTGCTTTGCCCTCCTAAGGGTCAAAAAAACATCTGTCCTCGCAAGGGTAAATATCGTGCAGCTTCTGCATGACCTCGGCGTAGCTCAGCCATCCTTTTCCACTCCACCTCACGCCGCCGAGTCTGTCGCTACGGTACATTTGAAGTGTCCAGCTCGCACTCACTCTTCAGCTGGTCTAGACACAGTTCTGGTGCGCCGCCGAGCGTAATTGAAGCGAAAGCCAAAAAACCCCTCCCCCGGACCCACAAGCTTCGACCGCTCTGTGGTCACCGCCCCTCCCCCCCGGAACCGCTTTGTGCTGAAACAACAACTTCTCAACATTATTCGGTTTGCCAAGCATCTTCTCCAACTCCATGTGCTGCTGCTGAAGCTGTCACCCACTCTCCACTTGCACCTCCACTCGCCGAGTTCCTCTCCAATGGCTGGCGAACTGGATATCTCGTATGCGCCTGACAAAGTGGGCTCCGAGGCCGAGAAGATGGACGCTTTCCCAGCCCAGGACTCCCTACTCCCCCACGGCGATCATGTAAAGACCAGGAGAGTCGTTCGCCGGCGGAAACAGAAGAAAGAGGAGAGCCTCATCACGGCGCTGTGCTCGTGGATCGTTGAGCACCAAATCGGTAAACAATTGATATCAGTATGAGCAGACTCGTAATGCTAACTCGGCACCAGGTCTCGCTATCAACCTCGTCCTCCTGCTGTCTTTAACGCACATCTGCTTCCCTCGCGCTCGTCCACACACACGAAAGTTTTTCGAGATGGCGTACTACAATCCCGACACCCAGGCCTACACTCGTGGAATCGACGATATGTACCTTGTCTTCTTCTGGATTGTGGCCTTCACTGGGCTCCGCATGGGTTCTATGGAATACCTCCTACAACCATTCGCGCAGTGGGGAGGCATCGAGTCAAAGAAGGCGCGCACGCGTTTTGCGGAGCAGGGGTGGATGGTCATGTACGACTCAGTGTTTTGGTCGCTGGGCATGGTCGGTTTCGAGTCTTCGAGGCTTTCCCGTTCGCTGCTAACCGAACGCAGTACCTCATGTACAAATCTGACTACTGGTTCAACTTGAAGGCCCTGTGGGAGGGTTACCCGCCGATCCACATGTCGGGAACGATGAAATGGTACTACCTTGTCCAGTTCGCCTTCTGGCTTCAGCAGCTGTTCGTCGTCAACATTGAGGAGCGCCGCAAAGATTTTTGGCAGATGTTCACGCATCACATCTTCACCTGCGCCCTGCTGTTCGCAAGTTACGGCTGGTACCAACATAAGGTCGGAAACGTCATCCTGTGTACCATGGACGTGGTTGATATTCTTCTGCCGGTATGCATTGCTTCCGTGGCCTACCAATCCAACTAATCGTTATCGCAGCTGGCTAAAATGTTCAACTATCTCGGCCTCCGCACCCTCTGCGATGTTACCTTTGGAATTTTCATTACCGTCTGGTTCGTGACACGGCATATCTTCTACCCGCTGGTATGCCGGGCCATCTATGTCGATCTTCCGGTCCTTGGATGCTACGACAGCATAACAGGCGCTAAAATCGAGGGCGAAGAAAACACGTCAATCTGGTCCAATATCTCACAACCTTTCACGCGTCCTGGAGGCCATGTATGCTTCAATGATAACATTCGCCTCCTGTTCCTCGGGATGCTTCTCGCTCTCCAAGTGCTTATGATTCTGTGGTTCGTCATGATATCACGCCTTGCCTGCAGCGTCATCATGGGCAAGGTGGCG